ACGTTGTTTTCAATTTAGATTTGTTTATATGTATATATATATATATATATATTATATGATGTCTTATATTCTCAAATATTGAGTAAAAACTGTAAAAAAAAGCTGCGATTGAAACAAATTATATTTTAGAATAATACCTTGCTGGAAAATTGAAACTGCTCATAGACTCCCAATCTTTCTGGAGAATGTCTTTTTTTATCTGAAAGTCTTGAATGCTAGATTCTTTTAGTTTACCAATATCAATATAGCTTGAGCAGTCACTTGTATTACGGCACTGGCAGAAATGTTCAAATCCGCAACAGCATTATCTTTAGGCTTTGAAGAATCGACAGAATTTTCATCTTCCAATGGTATATGAGCAATTGTATGCTTTGACGAAGTAGCAGTAGATGATATTGGCTTAAAAAAATCATCTATTTTTTTCTTCGACATTTAACAAAAAGTAGAGACTTTACAAAAAACTAGATACGAATCAATGAAACAAAGTTTTGTGGTGATGTCATAGATTGAATGCATTGAGACATGATCTCATATATTTTAATCCATGTGCGGTGGGGCATAAATGAGGATAAAGCAGTTTTAAATTAAATTTGACAGCTTCAAGTTTTGTATTGATGTATGCAACTATTTATCGATATTTATTATCTAGACTTCAGTCACTCACACATATCAGATAAAGATCTTTAATAAAAGCTTTGTTTAATTAATTTGCCCAGTCCAATCATTTAAAAAGTTAGATTTGTCACTCTTTTCTTCGTAAAAAGTCATAGAAGAAAGAACTACAAGGCTCAAATGCTTTTAACCAACTCTTTTAATTTATTTAGATAAAAAATTATTTTTTTCCAAATTCATGTGTACGCCCGGGCGTTTTGACGTAAACGTAGCTACGCGCATGGTGTCGTGGCTTCAAATTATCTTTGTTACTTTTAAGTCAGGAGTGTCAGTGTTCCTATCAAAATTCGGTGGCTTACTCCCGGCACTCCAGCTTCCTCCAACAATAAAAACTGACCGCCACAAGATAGCCAATAGTGCTGAAAGTGGCGTTAAAACCATCAATCAATCAATCAATCCTTTCTGACCATATTGAACAGATTTGAAAATTAATCCTTAAAAGACCTCAATGAAGTTCAAGGAATCAACCCTAGTCTCGATAAGTTATCTTTAGGTATTTTCATAAACTTATTAATTTGCTTGTTGTACTGATTTTTCATTTGCACGGGGTAGGTGACGACTATTTGATTTTCTGTATCCAATAGGAATTTTCAAATCTCTGTTTTGCTAGGCTTGATTATTTACTCTGCACGACAACAAAAAATCATTTTCACTTTGGTACACAATTATTGTCTGCATTTTGTTGGGCAAAATATTAATTTTCATTTCGTGTTATGCATGGTTATCATTTAAGTCCTTGATCAGACCAGACTATTTATTTCATGTGATTAACTTTGGAGAGGGTATAATGGGAAGAGCTAATATTAGACCTTTTCAACAACTCTCGACACCGACTAATGACACCTACAGTTTACAGGTAAAATGAAGGGGTCGTCTCAAAATTAAAAATTATTCATGAATAGTAATACGTTTGCACCTTCGATTTATCGATTTTACACTATTTTGACAAAAGAACATATTTCAAACAAATATGAATCATCTCTCTCTCTCTTTTGTATAAAATTCTAATTACATGTATTTATACGACATTTTACGTTGAATTTATTAAACCTCCAAGTAAATAATTACTGCAATCATTTCACATCGTAATCTGCCTTTTTCTTCTTATATTTTATGATTATGTGATTATTTAGAGAAGCGAGTTTGTCAACGCAGATTGCTCCACATGCCAGTAGCAATGAATTTGTTTTTGTAATATATGCTATTTATGAAATTTTCGGAAGGAACATATTTATAGTTGGTTCTTATGGTGTGCTGTTACACCAATGTCCCAGCTAGGGTAGGAGGATGGTTGAGTGCTCACCAACATGTTTAAACCCGTCACATTCTTTATGTGCCTGTCCCAAGTCAGGAGCCTGTAATTCAGTGGTTGTCGTTGGTTCTTGTCTGTCATATTTGTTTTTCGTAAATTGTTTTGTTATAAATTAGGCCGTTAGTTTTCTCAATTGAATTGTTTCATATTTTTCATGTCGGGGCCTTTTATAGCCGACTAAACGGTATGGGTTTTTCTCGTTGTTGAAGGCAGTACGGTTGCCTATAATTTTCTCATTGGCAATCATACCACATCTCCTTATTTTTATATTGTAACAGGACTGTCCGTCCGCTAGAGTTTGTGTTTCTCAACCGGTCTTTACGTCACTTGTTGTACATATTCAATGTTGGGAGTGTAAAAACCTATTAGTTTAAAGTAAAGGACATAGGAACAGGTCACATCGATAACTTAGTTACGAAGGACTACTCCGCTTTAAGATAGCATGTTACAGTTGAGGTGTTTCCTTAATGAACTGGAAACAGTAACGGAATCATTTTTTTTTTCTGCGCCACATGCGCATTTTGACAATTAATGTCTCTTCGGTGATGCGTATGGTATTTATATCTCAATAGAGCTTGTTGTCATTGCAGTGTCTTTTGGACAGTGCCTAACTGATTGACTGTTATAGGGTTGTCCGCGTCCCGAAAGACAACATACCTTGTTCCTTTGTCGTAGATTCCTTTCCCTGTTCCCGAAAAATGACCTTTGTGTGTCTTGCAAGAAGCGAGAACTGCTTACCTTTGCCCTTTTCAGGACATAGCTTTGGTTTTCTACTCTTTTCTATTTTTTCCATGCATAATGGTTTTTAAATTTCATCTCTGACCATACATAGGGGAGGTTTTAGATCCAATTATACTAGTAAAACCCCGCCGCATGTTTAATGCGCCTGAAACAATTCCTTAACAAGTTGGTCATTGCAATTGGTAAGTTTCTGTCACAATAGAATTTGTATTTTACAATTTGATATTTTGACGTTATGCTTCGCTTTCATATGTATTTCCTTTTTATTCGATCAAAGATGGTAACTTTGTTTCCTTTTCTTCATTTTTTGGTGGTTGGGAAATTAAAATGCAGACCATGCGGTAACTCTGAATGTCTGTTTTATATGTTGCATATTGTGATTTTTTTCCTACTGCGGAAGTCATAAAAAAGCAAGACAACGAAAAAAAGCTAACGATTTGAATCTGAATCTTAATCAGAACAGACACAAAGGGCCTTTAAAAATCTTGGTATCTATTTTGTTATGAATTTATTGCACTCCAGCTGATTCTTGCGAATGAGGTTCATTTATGGGCGCTATTTTTCTTTAAGTTTGTTTTGGTCGTACAACATTAGGACGAGGCAATTCATCAGCTTCCTCCTCTCTCTTGTCAGCTACGGCATCTAGTTGCCGGGTAGCAAGCAGGTCCAGGGACGGCACAGTAAACCGGATAATTTAAAGAGAAAGAGTCGAAATTTAAATTGCATTATTGCTGAATATCGATTTCAAGTTGAACATCAAATTAGTGAATTAAAAAGAAATAAAGTACTAGTAATGGGTGCATTGAGGCATCCGAAGCCAAAATGAACAGACATTGTAGAAACATGTACCGCCCTAGTCAACAGACCTAAAACATTGATTAATTAAACATCTATATAGTACAAAAATACAGGTTTATTTTTTTTTTTTTTTTTCATTTTCCAACTCGACGTCTAAAAGAAATGAAACTTTGAAGTCCTTCCTTTTCTTCATAATCAATTCACAAATAACTTGAGTTTAAATTTGATAAGCAAATATTTAATAAACAAAATAAGGTACGGCACACAACAATTGCTTTTATACACGTCGTGTTGGATAGTTGTCTCATTGGCAATCAAAAAAATCATATGCGATCAATAATATTTTTTCAATTTTATTTTTGAGATGACCCTTCATATCTCACCTGTCGTAGTCGTTCTCAACTGTAGACAATTGTTGAAAAGGTCTATTACAACATGCACAAATTTTCACAGAAAAAAAAACAATAACAAAGTAGAAAAAAAACAACAACTGTTCGATATAATATCTTATTGCTTTTTGTTTTTTGAGAACCTGGTGTTGATCACTATTGAAGACAAGTCTTCGAATTATCGACACCAGTCCTGAAGACTTTATGAGGATTCTAGATGTCGTGTAGTTATTTTTGTCGTTGATTATCTGTCTCATTGACATATACCACACAACTTCTTATACATGTATTTATATCTATATGAACCTTTAAAATAATCTCTTTTTAAAGATTATCCTTAGAACCCTGTATCTCGCCTGCGATTGATTCTGTCAAAGAAAAAGTGTAAGTTGACTGTCAAAAAACATTTTTCCATTTATAAGTGAAATAATGGAAAAAAGCTTACTTTTAACTTCAAATGGCATTTCTTGATAACGAAGAAGCTTATGTCCAAGTTTTATGTCATTTCATGAATGTTACGTTTTTTATGTCTAAAAATATCATTCCTAGACTGTCTGTAAAAGTTAGCAGCAAAATACTGAAATTTTGTTTTGGTTCGAAATGTAAGTATCGTCTAAAAAAAAATAAGCCCATTTATCTGGAAAATACAGAATAGTGAGGAAAAAAAAACCACTTTGCTCGGACACTTATTTTTTTATCACGAAGAAGCTCCTGTCCAAGTTTCAAAAAAGTCTGTAAAAGTTAGCAGCAAAATACTGAGATTTTTTTGGGGTTTAAAATGTAAGTATTGTCTAAAAAATATAAGCCCATTTATCTGGAAAGTACGGAATAATGAAAGAAAAACAAAAAATCAAAACTTTGCTCTGACAATTATTTTCTTTATCACGAAGAAGCTTTTGTCCAAGTTTCATAAAATTCCATGTAGGTTGGAAAAAGCTATGGATATAAAAAAAACTGAAACCACAGACCAAACCTAAGTTTTGACGATGTTGATGCAGACGGAAAGTGGGATCACTATGTCTGGCTTTCGCGACTTTCGTCGGAGACACGACTAAAAGCTGATAGCTATGGAAACTAATTGAGGCTCCAATACACTTCTTATTTTATTAAGAACAAATTCATCATTGTTAATTCGGATTCGGCGGATCTGGCGGCGGTGGCGGCACTATAACAACAGGCCATGGTCTCATATGCATGTTGTTGTCAGTAATGCTTGCTACAGATATCTTATTGACTTCTATAAAATAAAACAATAAGAAAGTTAACACTGCATGTAGGATGACTGATCTGAGTACAATTTCATCTATAAGTAACTCGTTACTCTTCTGTGAAAAGCACAGCAAAATCACAGTCATATATTTTAATTAGATTGATAGTGAGACATAACAGTGGTGTAGGAGTAGACTTAATACTGCAAAAGGCGGGGAGGGGAAATCTTCCAGAAAAAAAAAAAACGTTTTCAATAGTCTTTTAGTCTAGAAGTTAGTCAGTGTTCTAATTCAGTTTAATTTTTTTATTTTCAATGCAAAAAGGAGGACATAATTGGGTCAATTTAAAAACATGACGAATTTTCAGTACACCTATGCTAAAAGTTTTATTTGTCATGGAAAATGCAGTTGAAAGTGTTGAAATGAAAGTTTGTAGGATTTATGAGTCGGAACATCAATAATAATAACGATTTAGATTTATTTTGATAAGATTAAAATACATTTAAGTCCGATTTCTGAGTAACTTATGTGCGTACAGTGTCTGGGTAACACATTTCAACTGATTTTTTCCCTATTTTCTGATTGCCTTGATATCTACAAAAGGAACTATTTTAGAATTTTAATAATAACTCTAACGAAAAATCACACCTTCTTTATTATTCTATGTAACATTTTTTTCTACAAACTAAATTCAATCGGCGTACATGAAAGACTATTGAAAACGTTTTTTTTTTCTGGAAGATTTCCCCTCCCCGCTATTAGATAAGTCGTTAAATTGTTTCTCACTATGAATTTGGAACTGTACAGTGATGATTTAAAAAGCACAAAGCATCATAAAAATTTAACATAGCACGTTCTTGCATAGCAGTGAAGAGAAAAAAAAATTCAATACATTTAGTGAAAAAAATATAAATGGGTACCCTTTTATCATTTCTATGCTGCTACCAACAAATTCATTAATTACAACAATATTGTACTTGTAAAAAGTGCAATTACGTGTTGGAAACCAAAATCAATGCACAAAAACATTATAACTGCATCAAACGGAGTAGTTATTTCATAACAGCAGTAATAAATGAAGATGTTTGTCTATCATGTTACTATGGTTACTATTATTACAGTAACAGGATAGACAATATTTGACTGAAACCTCTTTAAAAAGTATATAATTACTTATAATGTTACACATAATGAAATGTTTGGTTGTTTGAACTCATTTAAAGGTTTCGACGTCTTAATCTTCGCAATTTAGCATATCGGCAACATGATAGACAAAAGGAATAACAGGATAGAACTTTTATATGGTGATATATCGTTAACGTATGTTCCTGTTACCAAAAACAAAATGACAAATGTAAACCAACATGCGAGGGAATGACTTGATGTTGGGCTTATCAGAAAGAAAAAAAAATACTGAACACTATGATTTACTACCTTAGACTTACGTTCAACATGGAAATTGACAAATAATCTATCATTACACACAATGAAAAAATATATATAGACGTTTTCATTCTTGAAAACCATCTTACTGGCTATGAAAAACAAGCTTGAAATTTTATTGTAATCTTTTCTTAATAACTCATAATTTCTTTTAAACATGGTACCAGGAGAGACAATATATTGCACCTCCCATAAAAAAAATGTTTCAATATATTCTTGTATGACATTATCAAGATTGCATGAAGAGAGTGGTTTAAATGAGTAACTTTTGTTCAATTTTTCTATTTCAAAATTCGACATTTTCTGAAAATGACTCAACTATGCCTCGGCCCCTACGACAATGCATAATATTAATCATGAAGGGTAACCAGCAAAAGTAACGGTGCAGTAACTGAATACGATAAAACCGGCCATTTATGGACTTTTTTCAACCAGTATACAAAACGGCTATACAAGATTTTCGGATAAAGAGTATACATAAAGGATATTATTTTGTCTGTTCGTCGATATTTCATTGGGTGCAATTTTTCTGAAAATAAGAATAAATCTCTCAAGTTTTGAAGAAAAAAAAAATATGCATTTCAGTTTCAACTGTTATATTTGTTTTCATGGACATGTATACATATTTATTTTCAAAATCCTGTATTATGTGTGTAACTGACCATCTCATTTACGCATAATCAACATCCCATTTTACGCGCGTCTGGCGCAAATACAAAATTTCAATCCTGGTATCTATGATGAGTTTATTTACAACTACTGGGTCGATGCCACTGCTGGTGGAGTTTTTATTCCCCGAGGGTATCACCAGCCCGCTGTCAGCACTTCTGTGTTAACATGAATTATCATTGATATGGTCATAATTATAAATTAACTGTTTACAAAACTGGTTTTCATTACCTTTTCCATGATCAATAGGTACATCTAGTCCACTAATGCCTAGAGATTCCCAGCCTTCGTCCAGAAGTGGTACACGAACTGCAAAATTAAAACATCGAAATGTACTGCACGTGTCTGAACTGATGTAAATCAATGTCACCTATTGTTAAAAGCAAGTTTCTTCTCTAAATATCAGCACAAAAATGTTAAACCTGCCAATTTACGGAAGCAAATTTTTGTTCTTCCCTCGCCGGGATTCGAACTCATGTATATATATATATATGTTTCTCTAATTCTAACCCAATTCATCCATTTCCTGACCTGTTGATTATTTTTATTTAATCAAGGTATGGTTCGTTTGATCTCAGTTCTTCATTGGTCAAAATTCGATTATTTTCTTGCGTTCCTCTTAATTTCCTATTGTGATGTCATATAAAAAGCGACCATATCTGATGACGTAACATAGAAAAAACAAATTTTTTTTGCAAATCATTCGAAAATAAGGATCGTCTAAAATTATTAAAGAATCAGATTCCACAACCAAATATCGTGCAATACGATATCTATCAACTCTCGACAGTTTTAAATTTGAAAATCTAACTGTCTCGAGTGGATAAATATCGTACCACACTTGATGCAGTGGTCGAATCTCTCTCTCTCTCTCTCTCTCTCTCTCTCTCTCTCTCTCTCTCTCTCTATATATATATATACATGATTGTAATATTGCCGCCGCTCCTAGAATAGAGGTAAAACATCTACTTAAGTTTTAAACGAACTCTATGCATTTGTTTGTATTCGCTTTTACAATGCACAGAGGTGCCTTTTATTGAGTAGCATCATTCAACCACATAACAGTCTAGAGGTAGCGACATGTGATTTTGAAAACATACTACGTTAAACATTATGAAATGTTTTATGATAATAACTGAAGTATTTATAATGATTTCTTTTAAATTGTTTGTTTTAGAACAGGTCATTTTGAATAAAATGGATCTATTTATCTCTTATAAATAGAATATTAAATATAACGTGTAACCGTGTGTTAGTCATTTTAAATAAAGAGAAACCATTTATCATTTAAAATATAAAACAATTAAAATGACATGTAACCGTGTATTACCTCTTTTACTTGGTCTCACTCCATATTTGATTTCTGTACCAAATTTTATACCATTATCAACAGTCTTAAGAATGACAGTTTCATCATAATCTGTTGAATGGACTTTACCAGCTGCAAATGAAAACAACATGATTTGATACAGCGTAAAACATCAGTCTACTTTAAATTACCAATCGTCCTGAATATGTTTTCCACTCGACGTTAAACAAGCAACATTCAATCAAATTATCCAGTACCAAGAATTTTGCCAGAATTTGCATCCTCAGACGTTTTTCCGTTTGACATATTTTTTTTAATTTTTGTCTTTTTAAAATTCTAAATTTCTAAATTTTGTGATTGTATTGCAACAAGGGTTCCATCTGCAGTAAAGTCACTGTTGCCACTAAATTCAATTTCTCTTAATTTTACAACTGTAAATGCTTATCATTCTTCTTCTGTGTCCTTGTTGAAAAATTACACTTTATCGCATCGCAGACGTTTCAATTACATCCTGTGATTTTTATTGGCAGTATTTAATATAATGCATCATTTTTTTTTTCTCAATTATATTTCCTGACGACAAGGAAAAAATATTTTGCAGCAGGAGGTCATTATAGAGTATTGGAACTCTCTGTCCCCCGTTTTACCAAATTTACTATGAATTTTAATTAAACTATGCTAACAAATACATTCAGTATATTTATCTGTATCTGCAGTACTTTTTTGATCTGTAATATAGTTACGAAAAAGACATAGCCCCCAAGGGTGACTGAGGAATAGAAGTATGGTCACCATTGGTCTTCCTCCGACCGGCAGTAAAACCCTTGCTAAAGTGGGGCATCCGTTTGGCTGTGCGGGATATACAAATTTGCAGCCACGTCCGGTCAGAATGGGGACGTTAAATCCGATGCCTCGTGTAAAGAGAGTGTCACGCTCTTTGCATGTTAAGAACCCTTGCAAAAACTCTTTGAGTGGTCCGTAGGTGACCTGTTGCAAGGCTAAATGTCTGTCCCTATCCAATATACCCTCATTTCCAGTGGCAGTCTAAGTTTCTCCGACCTTGATCCCGGACGCCTCCATTACAGAACCTACCTATTGTATTTATTGTTAATTTGTTCTCGTCCTGAATATGCATGAAATATTTGCCACTGGACGTTAAGCAACCAACAATCATTCAATCAAAAAAGACAAATAACTTTGAACATCAAAGATTTCTACGTTAAGGCACCAAGTGACAACTTTGGATAACGAAAACGGACATTCATTTCCCGGTTATGTCCAAGCAAACCAATCAAATGGAAACAATACCAAAATGTTGATGAACTCAGGTGCAAACAACGATAGACAATTCGTTAACTATAACAAGACAATGGGATCAGTTATTTGCAGATCAATCCATCAGTTACACTGTTTCTCGGGCACCAATATTCAAACCTTTATGTGACCAAGTTTCTAGACGACAGAATATGTGATGCTATCGTTTTTCTTTTACATGTCTTTTTTGAATGTCCGACTTAAAGGTTTTGGAATCAACAACACATCCGGTTATCCAAACTATACCCTCTTCAGCTTTATCCCTAACCCAAGAGTCAATTTTAGGAACACAAAAGTGCACACGTTGAAATGCTCGCCTGCTTTACTGACAATTGGTTTTATGTTAAAAGTATAAAAGATAAAGTTTTACAAAAGTATCATATAAACTTAACATCTTTAGGGATCTTTGACAATAAGGTCAAAGTCAGATAAATCATGTTAGACAGAGATGTACACCTTACAATCACTACATACACCAAATATAGTTCACCGATTGCTTATGGTAATTAAAAAAAACAGACCAAAAACACAAAAACTTAAAATCGACCAATGATTCATGAAAACGAGATCAAGGTCAGATGATACCGGCTAGTCAGACATGTACACCTTACAATAATTCTATACACCAAATTTAGGCGACCTATAGCACATAGTACTTGAAAACAGACCAAAACACAAAAAGACTTACCGTTGACCAATGAACCATGAAAATGAGGTTCAGGTCAAATGAAACCACCCAGACAGACATGTACTCCTTGCAATCATTCCATACTTCACATATAGTTAATCTTCTGCTTATAGTATCTGGAAAACGGACCGAATCATGTAAAAGTAAAATAACATGCTTGATTGTTGTTTGCTTTACGCCGCATTAGCACAGAAAGGCTATATCGCGGCGAGAGCTAATTCGAATATTATAACAATTTAAGGTATATTTTTAAAATCAGACAAAAGGTCTTTCAATATACTAAAATTCTAGACTAAAGCAAATTGATTATTTACAAATAAAAATCAACACTAAGATAACGTGATAAAAATAAAAATCGTTTTAAATATAACAACATTTTTTATATTTTATAATATATTTCAATTTCTTTTAAGAATGAAACAATATTTGTAAATGGAACATTATTAAATAAATCATACATATTATTGACATTGAAATGCTTCTTCCGAATATCAGCAAAGTCAATACAATTAATTAAAACATGTTTAATAGTATACTTGCAGTTGCAAGGTACACATTGTGGTTCATCTTCATTTTCAAAAAGATACTCGTGTGTCACTCTAGTATGACCAATTCGGCATCTAGAAATAACACACTGATCTTTTCTGCACATTAAATTGTTAGAAGGTTTACCTAAATTAGGTTTAATTTCATGTAATTTGTTACCATCTCTCTTACTCCATTCATTTTTCAAAATATTAAAAACATGTTCTCTAATATTAGATTTAAAATCGGTATATGGTATATTACAGTTAGATAAAGTGTCACCCAGGGCATTCTTTGCCTCAAGGTCTACAGCTGTGTTTCCATGGATTCCAACATGACTCGGCACTCATAGAAATATTATTTCTTTAAGAAGAATTTTTAAATTCCTCATTACATATAAAATTTTGAGAATTGTTGGGTTTTTAATTTTAGTATTTTGTGTAGCTTGTAAGCATGAAAGTGAATCAGAACATATAATTAATTTGGATTTATCTGAAGAAACAATAAATTTCAAAGCCAAAATTATTGCTTTCGCTTCAGCAGTAAAGATGGATGCAGCAGATGGCAAACGGAGAGTTGCAGCTCTGTTCCCGAAGACAGCAGCAGATGCAACTCTGTCACCATCTTTTGATCCATCAGTATAGACAGTTGAAAAATCGGAATAATTGGCTTTACTTTCAGCATAGTGTTGCTGAATTAAAAGAGGATTTGTTTCATTTTTATTGTGTTTACGGAGATCAAATATCATTTTTGGTTTGGGAAGTTCCCATGGAGGACATTTGCAAGTTTCAACTTGAGCAACAGATTTTAAATCAAAAGTAGCTAAATTGTGGCTTTAAACGTATACCTAACGGAGGAATTTTGTTTTCATGTTTTGCAAAAATATCTTCTTAAATTGGATTAAAAACACAGCTGTAGGCAGGATTATCTGAATAGGCTTTTAGTTTGACAGCATATTGAAGTCCAAGCTTCAAACGTCTGTCAAAAAGTGAATGCTCATCAGCCTCTACATACAGACTCTCAACTGGTGAGGTTTTAAAGGCGCCAAGACAGAGACGCAAACCCTGGTGATGCACAGCATCGAGAATCTGTATGTAGGACTTCCGTGCTGAGCCATACACTATAGAGCCATAATCTAGGTTGGATTTAACTAGAGATCTATATAAATTAAGTAAAATGTTGCGATCAGCACCCCAGTCGGTGCTGCCGACAACTTTTAAAATATCTAATGCTTTTAAACATCTTGATTTTAACATTTTGATATGGGGTAGAAAGGTTAATTTTTTATCGAAAATTAACCCAAGAAATTTGGTTACATCAACCATTTTAACTGGGTTTCCTTACAAAGTGAGTTCTGGGTCAAGATGCAATTTCCTTTTGTTACAAAAATGCATCCCGACCGTTTTTGAAGTAGAAAATTTAAAACCATTTTCCGAGGCCCATTTTTCAATTCTTCCAAGACATAATTGTAATTGTCTTTCTATGTTATTCATATTTTTGCCTCTGTAACATATTAGAAAATCATCAACGTACAATGAACCTTCAATATTACTTTTTAAAACTTCAACAAGGCTGTTGATTTTAAGACTAAATAATGTAACTGATAAAATACTCCTCTGAGGGACACCCATCTCTTGATCATACAGATCAGACATGGTTGAATTTATTCTAACATTAAATTGTCTGTTAGACAGAAAATTCAAAATAAAATTTGGCATATTGCCTTTCGACCCCATATCAAACAGATCTTTTAAAATACCATACTTCCATGCAGTATCATAGGCCTTTTCAAGGTCGAAAAAGACCGACACCACATGTTCATTTTTCGCAACACCATTACGGACAAATGATTCGAATCGAACAAGATGATCAAAAGTACTGCGACCTTGTCGGAATCCACACTGGATATTGGCCGAAAGCTCATTTGATTCCAGGAACCCAACAAGGCGATCATTGACCATCCGTTCTAGTGTTTTACAGACACAACTGGTAAGAGCAATTGGCCGATAATTAATAGGACCCGTGTGATCTTTACTTGGTTTTGGAATAGACACGACGGTTGCAAGCTTCCAGATTGATAGTAAATCACCAGATTCCCAGATGGTATTCATGAGCTGCAAAAGAGCTTCCAGCGAGGAATCTGGCAAGTGTTTTAAGAGTTGGTAGTGAATATTATCAGGTCCACAAGCTGTATCATGGGCTTTTGACTGAGATGTTTTAAGTTCTTCAAGAGAAAAGAGTTTATTATAATTTTCACCATTTTTTGATTTAAAGTTCAACTTTATTTTTTCTTTTTGTTTTTTAACTTTTTAAAAATCTTCCCTGTAGTTGTTAGAAGAAGAAGATTTCGCAAAAGTTTCACCAAGCTTGTTGGCAATATCCTTTTCAGATGTTAATAAATCATTGCCATTTTTTAAATGTTTTACTGTGGCTTTAGAATTTTTACCTTTGATCTTTTGTATCATGTTCCATACTTTTGTCATCGGAGTGCGAGATGTTATCCCCGAGACTGTGTCAAAAGTTAAAATTGGATCTTGTACAGTCTCAAACATCTTTGACTGAAGTTCCGCTTTTCAGAGATTCTCAAACAAGGGCCAATCCGCCTTGTCAAGTTTCCAACGTGGTACTCTCTGTTGGGCAGAAGTAAAAAGATGTTCAAGTACTGTTGGAAAGTGATCACTTTCACAAAGATCATCATGAACACGCCATGAATAATCCAGAAGAAGAGAGGGATCGCAAATAGTGATATCAGTAGCAGAATAAGACCCGTTTCCAGGATGAAGATAAGTATTAGATCCATCATTAAAAATGCATAATCCTTCTTGAGAGACAAAGTCCTCAATGATCTTACCTTTGGCATTATGAGACTTGCTTCCCCACAAGGGATTGTGGGCATTGAAGTCGCCCATAATTATAAATGGTGAGGGTAATTGATCAGTGAGATTTTTGAGTTTTGCTTTATCTATAATTGAATTAGGTGGAATATATATAGAACATAATGTAATTGTTTTATCTAATGATAAACGAATTGCAACTGCCTGCAGATCCGTGGTGAGTTGGACTGTGCTATGAATGACGTTGTCCTTCACAAAAATGGATGATCGGCCTGCAGCACGTTCATCTACCTTAGAAAAAGTGCTATATATGTTGTATCCTTTTAAAGATAAATTGTCACTTTCTTTTAGATGAGTTTCTTGAAGACAAAATGCAATAGGTAAAAAAGACTGAACTAGAAGCGTTAACTCGAGAAGATTTATTTTAAGACCTCGGCAATTCCATTGGATGATATAAGTCATGATTTGTTAATAGACGGGCGAATGCTATCGAGTTTGCCAGCATTCTTATTTTGCTCACCTGAGATTGTGATCTTTCGGGTGGCGCGACACTTTCGATTTCCATTTCTGATTCGTCGTTAAGTGTTGAAAATCTGTTGTGTGAGGAGAGTCGTCGATCTCCAGGACCACACGCAGCTGGTTTTACTCCGCCTCGACCCCTACCCCGCGACCTCGAATCAGAAGACTTCTGAGAGGATGTATTTGCTGGCTTCTTTGGGACATCCTTCTGTTCTGGAGAACGAAGAGGAGACGGGGCTTTAGTAGACTTTGTACTGGATGCAGAAGATAAACTAGTTTTATTAGATGTAGATGAAGGAGGACTATTGGAGATGGAAGAATCATCTATGTCACTGGGAAGATCCCAGACAGATTCACCGCCCCAACTGTCTGATTTAACTGTATCTTTTTTATTTGATTTCTTTTTTTCATTTTTTTAGATGATGACATTGAGCTCTGTAAGGAAGATTGAGTTGACTGAGTACTGGTTTTAGAAGGTGTTGGTTTTCTTGGAATTAATATTTTATCGTTATGTTCTTTTCAACAGGCAGCATTGTAAATGTCTCAGCATCGATTGGCCAGGTCATGCGAGTTTGTGTATGCTCGTGACTGAATGAGCGGACAACTTTGCTGGCGCACGATGGTCTGTTCGAAACAAGGAGATAATTCGAAACAGAAGCTATCTGTTTAGCTTCTGGGTAACTGATGTTTCTTTCTGTTTTAATTTTGATAATATTTTTTTCCTTAAGGTAAACAGGGCAGTCCCTAGATGATGAAAAATGGGATTCACCACAGTTTACGCATTTAGAAGATTCAGAGCTACAGGTTGTTCCCTCATGTCCTTCGTCAGAACACTTGAAGCATCTTTGCTTACCACGACATTGTTTGCTTCCATGACCAAACTTTTGACAAGTGAAGCATCGAATTGGGTTAGGGATAAACCTGTCAACTCTGATTCCGAAGCAACCTAAAGTAATAGATGGAGGAGGAGTTGGAGTTCTAAAGGTCAAAAGATATGTATTTGATATGATTATATTTCCATTCTTTTTTATTTGAAATCTAACAACATCAGTTACACCTTGGCTTGAAAGTTCCTCACAGATTTCTTCCACGGTAAGGTCACCAAGGTATTGACTTCTGTCTCGAATGATCCCCTTACAGCTGTTCAAACTGTTGTGAGGAGAGACAGAAACAGGAAAGTTTGTAATTGTTGTCATTGTAAGCAAATTTATTGATTTCAAGCGAAATAGAAAGCGTACCACTTGATTGAACCATGAGCCATCGCCTTCTTCAGTTATCCGAAATAATACATGTGTATATAATAAAAATTGTTACAAGAAAGCTTATTGTTGAGGATTAACTGAAGGGCTCGACATGACCAGCCGATTGATCGGACCGGGTCCATCCGACCTCCCGTTTAGATGATATCAGAGCCAAAGCAGATTATTGAACAATAGTCTCGTCCGTCCGGGTATTTTCTGACCGTAAGGAGTCTGACTACAGCCCTCATACGTAAGGATCTCGTCAACCACCGACGCGGGTAGCAACCCACGGCCAACGGGTTGGATAGCCTATTTTATTCAAAACAGCGGGCAACTCGTACGATGTTCGGATCACTTTAGTCTGGTCTCTACCCTTTGACCTGTCCAGCATGGGTAACCCTACCAGGAGACGAAGCTCCAGCTGGCATAGCTTTTGGGGTCACTGAGACACGCAAGCCCCCCGATCCACCGGGGGGAGTAAAATAACAAAAACTTTACTACCGAACTCCAAGGAAAATTCAGCACGGAAAGTCCTTTGTCAAAGGGAAACTTTTACCTTGGTCACTGATCCATTAAATGAGGTCTAGGTCAGGTGACTCCTGTCAAACAGACATGTAGAAGTTGCGAATAACCCATATACCAAACATAGATATCCTATTACCCAAAATAAGTAAGAAATTCACATGACAAAAAATCTCTTTTTTTTCCAGCATTCGCTGAACCATGAAAACGAGGTCAAGAACACTTGCCATATAACAGACAGAAACTTCATACAAGGTATGAAGCATCCAGGTCTTTTACGTTCTGAAATATAAAGCTATATACAAATAGTTTACACTATCGCATACTGCAATTGTCGTGGCAAGCGAGACAAATACCAGCAACATTGCTAATTAATTCAATGTCATTGAACCATAAAATAGTGAGCAGGGCCTCAAAATGGTGAAAAAAAAAACGGTAATGTAACTTTATAGAAATCATCGTTGTCTATTGGGAGAAGCTTCTATCAGACTAACTAAAGTAGAAAACTCAACATTGAAAATTAGAAATTAATTGAAAGTCACTGGACCATAACATAACCTACGGGACAGGGTGTCCAAATAGTCGTCAAACTGATATGTAATGATAGTAATGCAACTTCATACAAAATATGGTTCTTCCGACCACAGTAAGTCCCTTGGCAAAAAGGGGTGCCCGTTTGGCTGTGCAGGATGTACAAGTACACAGCCAAGTTCGGTCAGAATGGGGACGTAAAATCCGATGCCACTTGTAGCGAGAGAGTGCCACACCCTCTGCACGTTAAAACCCCTTGTAACAACTCTTTGCGGGGTTCGTAGGTTGCTTGTTGCAAGGCCAAATTTCTGTCCCTATCCAATTTCCCCTCATTTTCCAGTGGCAGTCTAAATTTCCCCGACCTATTATAAGACCTACCTATTGTATTTATTGTTAATTTATTCTTGTCCTGAACATGCATGAAATTTTTGCCACTGGACTTTAAGCAACCAACAATCAATCAATCAATCTAAAGCAGAAAACTTTACAATTGTTGACGCCAACATCGTTGCAGGCGAGATAACAATCGATGAAATCATTTGAATGTTTTAGATTAATGTTTAATATATTTTCACAAAGAACGAGCATGATTTATTTTTGAGTATGCGCTAAGTTTCATTTGTTATGTGTTTTCAATAACAGACATATTTTCAATTCTGGCATTTTTTTGTGAATCAGACCATCTCATTTTTGCACAATCCACATTCATGTTATACAGATGAGACTTCGTATGCAAGTAAGTTTGCACCTTTTCTTCAAAGTATCAGAAAACAGGAACTAAATATATGACAAAAAACCGCTCTTACGTTACAAATTATTTCTTTTAAGCTATTGGCCAAATATTAAATCGACTAGTTCGGCAGATTTTAAGAAAAATATCACGAACATATTTATTGGACGGACTGCCGGACTAACGGACGGACAAGATGATTGGTGTGTAGCCCATACTTTAAGAGTAGAGGTATACTAACTACGCAAATTCAAAATAAACTCATTAGGTGGTATTATCTTTCACAGAGGTGCCTTTTACTTATATTCAGATTGGCCTCTTTCAACCCATAACAGAGGTAGCCACAAGTAATTTCGAAAATATATCACATTAACTATTTTGTAATCAATCTAAAGTTTTCTCGTTTTATGTATTGTTTTATGGATTTGTTCGTGTTTTCGTCGTTTTTGTTTTGTTTTTTGCTATGTTGTTTTCAGTTTTTCTTCGACTTTAAAAAAATCATTTGTTATAATAACTGAAGTATTAAGCATCATTTCTCATAAACAGTAAGATTTCGAACGGCCATTTAAACGAAAAGGAAACCATTTATCCATCAAAACATAGACAATCAAAATAACATGTAACCGTGTTATTTCATTTTACATTAAATAAAACCATTCATGTCTAAAAACATAAGTCACTAAAAATAGCATGTAACTGTGTGTTACCTCTTTTACCTGGTATTCGTTATTCGTAAATCTTTTGTTACAATTCGTAAATCTTTTGTTACAATAATTGAAGTATTGTAACAAAAGATTTACGAATTCGGAATACCAGGTCATGTCTCATAAACAGTAAGATTTTGAACGTTCATTTAAAAAAATATGAAACCATTTATTCATCAACACATACAAAATCAAAATAACATGTAACCGTGTTTTATTAATTTTACATTAAATGAAACCATTTATCTCTAAACACATAAGACAATAAAAATAGCATATAACTGTGTGTTACCTCTTTTACTTGGTATTCGTAATTCGTGTTTGATGTTTAAGCCAAATATTGTACCATGATCTGAAGTGTCATTAATGAGTTTGTCAATGTGGTCTGTTGCATGGACTTCTCTGGCTGCAAAAGATACAAAATAAGATTACAATCGGTCGACATCTTTAATAAAATGTGCAAATTTCATGAGTAGTATGTAATTCATGTGTAAGACTTTTCGTGTTAATATAGAAAATTATGTGTTTTATCATATTTACGGCTGTATTTTACAAAAAAACATTTTTTTTTGTTTGATTCACTTTTTTTTCAACTTTGCCACATAAGAAAAGTAACTCAGAAATAAGTGGAGATAACTCAAATAAAGTAATTTTTATAATAGAATGTGTTGTGAATTTACATATTTTATTGTGTAGCAAGAAAACGAGTCCGGTGACCCATTTTTTCTTTTTCTTATCTGAAAACATATTATTAGAGCTATCTTCTCATATTTTATCTCTTTAAATTCTATGGTGTAGATTTCTTTTTATCACACAAAATTTGGTTTTCCGTGCATAATCTATACAAAATCTGACAATTTTGCACAACACGTTGCATGAAAAAAGTCCGGTGACCCATACTTTTTATTATATTATTGAAAAAAGCATGATATGAACTACATTTAGACAAATTATTGAAAAATTCTATGGATTTTGATTTAAGTCTCCTATCTACCTTAAGGGTTCCAACTGCAATAATGTCAAAGTTTACCTTAATAGGGTATCGCCCTTCATTCCAATTCTATACCTTTTATTACTGTGAATGCTTATTTATTCCCTTTCAGCATTCCAGGTCAAAAATAATACTATAAAGCATCATAACGTTTCAATTACATTGTATGATTTTGTATTGGAAGTTTTAAAGTTTCTTTCACCAACTATGCTTATTGACAATGAGGACTGATTTATTTACGTGTCTGCATACTTGTAAATCCCGCACAACCAAACAGATGCCCAACTTTGGGGTTTACTGCCGGTCGGAAGAAGACCTGTAGTGACCATATTTCTATTCCCCAGTCATCCTTTGGGTTTTTACTTTTAGATACATCATTCTTTAAAAACTTAGTAAAAATTTACGGAGAAACATAATATATATTTTTGCATACATAAATACAAATAATATCTACGTTTAACACAATCTTTGTGTATATGAACAATGAATAATTTAATTTTGATATTTTGTGGTACTTGCATGCTCTCAATATTTAAAAAAACCAAAAAAACGAAATAAACATGTGTAAACACATACATTTTTTGTCTTTTTTGTAATAAAAAAAAGTAATATTTAGACCAAAAAATCTGTACATATTCATGATATCTTAAAGATGTTTCTATTTAATCTTTTCTCGTAGTTAATATTTTTAAGCTAAAATCACCTACTATAGTAATACTTTGTTTTTGAAGGACGAAAGGGGCCCTTACCGCACTTCCGACTTTTCTGGAAATTAGAAAGAAGATTTCAAATATTTCAGAAAAAAAATAATGATTTATTTTCGCGTATGCACTTAAGTTTCAGTTGTAATATTTTTTCAATAACAAACATATATATTCTAAAAAATCTGGCTCTGTTGTGTAAAACAGACCATCTCATTTACGCATAATCCACATTTCATTTTATGCAAATGAGACACATGTATGAAGTAAGTTGGCACCTTTTCTTCATAATTGTATATTCAAATGCTGTATAGTTTGACGTATATTCCAATGAGGAATCTTTAAGTTCGTGCAGCAAACACTATCTAAAGAGTCATCTTTCCTACCTATATTTATTTGTCAGTTTTTTTACCTCTTCCTCACATTAAAGAACGATAATTTACCGTTGCAGATATCAAAATTGATTTTTTTTTTCGATTCTACGTTTCCTACAATAAACCGTTATAAAAATCGTTGTCTACTGTAATAGTAGCAAAACAGTTCTAAGCCGAAAACTGGTGTTTATTACCTTTGTCAGAATCAATAGGTAAATCTAGTTCGATGTCGCCCAGAGATTGAGCAAGTGCTTCATCTTCATGTGGTACACGACCTGCAAAGTTAAAACAGTGACATGTACTGCACTTGTCTGAACTGAAGTACATCATGATCTCTACATATATTGTACGTATCAATCATTGAATAAAAAGCTGTGTCAAAATTTGATAATTAAATCAATGAATTATGAGTTATTTATTAATTATATACATAATGTTTCAATACTGGCCACCTTTTAATCATATATTTGACTTCCTTTGAATTAGTATTGGGCAAACCAGATACTGCACGCCTCGCATCGTCCGCTTACCCAATCATATTTCAAAGTATCAGAAAAAAGCATATAAATATTTGACAAATGAAACTGCTCTTACGTTACAACTTTTCAAGCTAGTGACCAAATGTTAAGTCGACTTGATTATCATTTCTTGAGAATAGTATGACAAAAATGTTTATTGTACGGACGGACGGACAAGCTGATAAGAGTAGAGGTATAATTTCTCCTCAAGTTTAAAATGAACATTATACATTTGGTGGTATCCGCATATGTACTGGACGGACTGACAAGATGATTGGTGTGTAGCCTATATGTCTAGAGTAGAGGTATACTATCTACGCACAATTTAAATAACTCTATACATTTGGTGGTATTATCTTTCACAGAGGTGCCTTTTACTAATATTCGGATTGGCCTCCTTCAACAACATGACAGAGATAGCCACAAGTAATTTTTGTGATCAATCTTTAGATCTCTACGCACCTGTAGTGATTTATGGATTTATTTGTCTCTTTGTCGACTTATGAGTGTTGAGTGTTACAATAACTGAAGTATTCATATCTCAAAATTATATTGTAAGATTTAAAAGAAAATGAAACGAAACCATTTATCCATAAAAACATAAAATATAAAAATAACATGTTACCGTGTGTTAGTCATTTTAAATCAAACGAAACAATTTATCCCTCAAAACATTGAACAATAAAAATAACACGCGACCGTTTGATATCCAAATTTCGTATTTGATTTCTAAACCAATTATTGTATCATGATCTGCAGTGTCATGAATGATTACATCATGATCTGTTGAATGGTTTTCATCAGTTGCCAATAAATTCTTGCATATTAGTTGAAAATAGTGTAACTCATGGATTGGTCTTTAAATTAACTACTACGAGTACGTTACAGAATAAATCACCTTAGATAGGAAATACAATGCGAATGATACTTGGTATATTTTTATTCTAATAGACTCTGTTGGATTTGGTGTGTATCTCATGCCATATCAGACTTTGGTCTTTTTGTTTTAATAAAAAGTGTTCGAACGAGCATAGTACCTTCTATTCTAGAATTTGGTCTGTTTTTCGACATCAGTATGAATCAGTATTCCCAGTTTTAAGTATGAACTCCTATTCTGCAGACTTGTAAATTATATAACTAAAATGATAATCATATTGTAAGAAACATAATGTAATGAACTGTTAGAAAGTATGTATTAATTCCAAAAAGGTAGTTTCTGGAACGTGTTCCGGTAATATTGGGGGATTTAAGAGAAGAACTCAGTAAAAAGAGTATGTAGAACCTCCAAAAGATGTTGCAAGGAGTTTTAACACGCAGAGAGCGATGAACTTTACCTTCCCGGTGTATTGGATTTCACGACCACACTTCAAAAGGATGTGGCTGATAATCCATGTGACCATATTTCTTTACCCATGTTAAGCTATCTGTGCTAATTTAATATGTTTCAAAATACATTTTGTATTTACATTTCATGCCTGCTAAAAGATATTTTAGCAAACACTTAACCTATCGATGAACTATTACACAACTACCTGTTACGAACTTCGATAAGATGTTTTATTAATAGAAACACTGCACAACAATTGTCTATATGAATCACCCATTTCTATTTTATGCGCAATTTATATTGGAAAATTAAGGTATATTAGTATAAAAGAATACAGAATAGAAGTTTCTGTATACGTTTATGGACTAAACACATGCACTTAATATAACAATTATGTCTTTGTATACGCAGCATGTTTTAAACGTTGAAAAATTATACCCTTTCGTTAGAAGTATAAATTGAGTTTTTTTATGTGACACATTTCAAACAAGTAAACAAACAAAGCTGTTATGTCTGAATAAAGTAGGTCGACTGTGATAATATTAGGTAGGGATTGAAATCTTGGGGATTTCGTAGCAATAAATGAAAATCATTGATTTTGAAAAAGCCTTCTTGAGATTGACCATGCAAAATTGAAGATTAAGCAATCTCTCTGTGATTAAAGAAATATACTTTCTCTTCCCATGGTTTATTAAAAAAAATAATTTATTCCTTAGTTAGTCCTTTTTATTTGATCATGTAAACAAATGGAATATGTGTCTATAAAACGCTATTCCCAGATCGCACAATCATGTTCCATGAACCGAAATGCAATGTACAGATCAGCTTTCTTTTATTAACATCACGGTGAACATTTGTAATTTTTTTGCAGTTGATATGACCACTTCATGGAATACAACGTGAAACCAAATATTTTGTCTACCATAACCCAAAATGAATACGAAATATGTGCGGACGGACACATAGACAACAAAACATATTGCCCCTTTACTATCGTAGGCGTGGCATACACATTTCCAGTAAGCTTGTGGTTTAATACTGTAATATGTAAACTTACCTTATTTTGAACAAAAAAGTATAACGTTATATTCCTGATAACAAAATCCAAATGATTGTCTTTTAATCAGGTCCCACTACCTTATACGGTTTGTAGAATTTAGCATATTAATTTTCCCGCTCATATAATTGTTTGTTTTCATAATACTCAAAATGTTGTACCTGGGTTATCGACCAATCCACTGAATGTTTGACTACTACGTGTTTAAAATTCTCGGAGAACACGTGTTTTTAACGACACACAACGCATTTTTTGACAGATTGCTGGAAAAAAACCTTCCGTCTTTCTTTTTCTTTGAGATAACATTTAAAGACTATGATATAACGGATTAATAATATGCACAGATTGACGAACAATTGTTTCTGTTTTCAGAACGTAATTTTCGAAATACTTGGACCATAGCCACTAGTATCATTGTAAAATAAACCAAGAGATTTCAGAAATTCATTCACAAGAAAACAACCAAACGAAACAAAAACTGAAAACATTATTAGTTGGACGTGCATTCACAATTCCAAAACGAGAGACTCCTGAACTTTTCAGTTCTCTTGTCATATAGGGGAAGCGTGTATCCAATATTCGTAAAAGACATAACCAATCTTGTTTCTTTGGCACAGAATATAATTCATGATATAAAGCATCTTTTTGTGATTTCAAAGGTAAATAAAACTCTATATAGTGGACTTTAAACACCCTAATAGATTATCAGAAAATGTTATATGGTGTTACAAAACGCAATGAACAATGCATTATCGTTGGACAAATACTTCTTGTCTCAGTAATTGTTTCATTAGTTAGTGAGAATATCATTGCATTCCTAAATCATAAGTTATTGGATTTTTTTTTCTACTCCTGACGTCGCAACATATTTACAAATTCGAACTGTGACTTTGAGATGACTAACAACGTTATCAAGAAAGGTGCAATTCTTTTTCTTTTTTTTTCCTTTTCTACGTAGTGATTTCCCATAACTTTTATAATATATAAAGAGTACCAAGTAATTCTAAAAGTTGTCAACTTGAAATTGAAAGAGGTATGACATATATATCAATAAGACAGCAACTAAATGAAAAAATAACCAACTAGAGGGCAGCATTAAGTCTTTAACAAAAAAACAGGTGTCCCCGTATATCTGTTAACGAGTTATTGATAATACTGAATTCGACTTTTTTTTATGTAATTACTCCATTAGCATGTCAAGTCGAAAAGTCAACGGAACCAATGCAGATAGATTCTGTGTTTGTCTAGAATCTCATGATGCTTTATAGCTAGTATTGAATGATATCAAATAGGAATTCTGTGCCATATGCTCTGTACATTATGAAAGAGCATTGTTTTAAGAAAGATATAAGCTGTAAAACATACAGGACACGAAAATGTGTTAAGCATATAGTATCATGTAACTCATTAGTATTTTAATTTAAAGACCTCAATGGAATTTACTGTTCTATGTAAACTTCGTTATTAATTTCACGTGGAATGAATTGGCAAATTTCACAGGGGCATGTTTACATTTAATTTTGTATTTGGGGAAATTACTACGAAAATGTATTCTGACGACAGAAATATAGTGGTCCTGATCTGTTACATGAAAGATTTAAGCTGTCATTTATCTTATCTTGGATAAATCCATTTCCCGCCATCTTCTTCGCACAAAACTACTGACCTTATTATTCACATGGAACAGCAATCTAATTGAACATACATCTCTAATATCGATAATTAATACAATTAGCAGAATTTGATCGATGAACAACATATCTAGTTATAACAGAATATGTTCAATGGCGTTAAGGAACTTTTCGTTTATAATCGTCTCTAACTAATGCAGCAGGGTCTGACTGTATTGTAAAATATACATATTTTTATCGTCTTCTTGTCGACAATGTCAGAGTCAAAAAAATTGTGTTCACTACTAGAGAATTTAAAATATGTAAAAGGGTCACTCATATTAATTTATAAAACAATTTGTTTTAAAAATTTTATTTTATTAATTAAATACTGTTGTCATTTATTATAAAAACTCCAGAGTTAAGCAATGGCAGCTCTACTATAAGTATTTACATTAGAATAGTACTTCTTCGGTTGTCACTTTCACAATGGAAATAATTTCAAAACCATGTTCGAAAACGATAGTGTGTCAGTCCTTCGGTCCAATTAGAAGACCTTTTAATAAATATCAGGGCAAAACACAACCAATGAAAGTACTTTGGCAAAAATAACTTGTATCATTTGTTTATTTCTTAGTTTATCAGGAAATCTTGTTGTTCAATCACTCCGTCGTTTTGCGATGATCAATTTCTTCGTTAATATGTGAACTACGAATTCACGAATAAATAATCATTACAAAAATGATTTTAGATAAATCATAATCGTATCGCTGGTCTTTTTTTTTGCATTGGAAGATCTGTACACGTTTTTTGCTTCGAACAAGATCTTATGGCATAACGTTGCTGTGTGGAAAATGCAACAGTGAGTTACAGCCGTCGATATTAGAGTGTAGGATGGTTTGGTGTTATATCGGAAGATTAATTATTTGATGTCTTTCAATAACTGATAGTATTCTAATCCGGCACATGGACATGTCCTAAGTCAGGCAACTTGGCAGTGGTTGTCTGATGTGATAATTCCATGTGTTTTGTTATTTGGAGAGCATCGATTTGATGTTAGATTACATATTCTCGGTTTAGTTCATTCACAACCATCTATAGACTCGGGACAATTTCGAGACTTACATAGTATATAGACAACTGTTTTTTAAATGAAGACTGTGACGACCTCCAGATATTGTGTAGTTATTTGTGTTTTGTGGGTGCTGTCTCATTTACGTATTCACCATCCCAAATCTCCGTCAACTGGCATAATAAAAAAAAAACAAAGGAACAGCGCGTTTATTACTGTCAAAATTTAAGGTTTGGCTGCGACTTGGAATCAGCCGTCGGTCGTGTGTCCTTTACTTTCAAAATAACATTCGCTGAACCCACTAGATAATTCAAACCAAACTTATTCTGAATCATCTCAAGTGCCAGTTGGTCTTTATTCGAAATTTGGAATTGGAATAGAAGAGCTTGAGGAAGAACTCAATGCAGCCATAACATTTTATCAAATGCTTGCAGCAAACTTTAAATGTGATAGGAATAAAGAAGAAGTCTTTTCTGACATTATAAAAATTATTTAAAGCACTGTCAAAGTTGGGAAGAATATGGATAAGCGAGGCAGTAAAAGTCCTGCAGCTCGTCCTTCTGATGCGAGCATTTAATGCGACGAGTGTATAATAAAGACCCATCGTTACTCTACGATAACCCAGTCTAGATTAAACAATCTTCTGATCCGAAATGTACACAAGGAAAGGAAAAAAAACCCAGATTGCACCAATTGTGTTGCTGTTGCCGTACAGTTTGTTTTTGATAAAAACAGAAGGAACATTTTTAGACGAGTTTAACCAGTTTGGTTCAATTCGTCATTATGAGTTAAGAGATATGGGATAAATAATTGAAATGAGTTATATAAATATAAAAACACTTTTTTAAATTGAAATAAGTTTGCAAATAGAGTGTCTCAAGCAGTATTAAACAATGAGCAGGTGTTAACACCATATGGCTTCCTCTTCAATGATCTTTTACTCAAAAAGGTCTCCATTTATTGCATACCAAAATTAAAAGGCGTATTATATGTGGTATGGTTAAACCAGAACTATGAATTATTGAGTTCATTTCAATAAGAAAGACACCAGCTAATTGCCCATTTAAAATTTTTACATTATAAATTCATATTATGTATAGATTCGGGGCGAGTATAGACATCAGTCTTGTCTACTGCTGAAGGCTGTAGGTTCCCTTGTAGATATGTTTTGTCGTTGGGTTACTGTCTCATCGACTTATACAACACAACCAACACAACAACTTATATTCATATTTCCTAAATGAATCCATAAAGAAGGCTGATAGCTATGGAAACTCATGACGACTGAATCAAACTGCTAATTTTATTTAAAAAGTAATATGCATCCTTGTTTATTCGGATTCGGTGGATCTGGCGGCGGTGGTGGCTCTAAAACAACAGGCCATGGTCTCATATACAAGTTGTCTTCAGTAATGCTTGCTACAGATTTCTCATGAACTTGTACAAAATAAAATAATAAAGTTAATATAGCATGTAAGACCAATCAGATTTAAAATTCTTACTATCGTTACTCGTCTGTGTTAAGCATAACAAAATCACAGTTCTATTTATTAATTAGATTGATAACAATAGTTTGATACAGTAGTGTAGTAATAGATTGAAAAAGGGGACTATTAAAGTGACCAGAAATTAAAAAAAAAAAAACAATTTGTTTTGTTTCCTCTTTCATTTTTTTTTTTAATTTTTCATTAAAAAAGTTTTCCCCAAAAAAAGGGGGACACAAGCATTGTTTTACCCTCCCCACCACATGGTTTACACAAATGCATTATATTTATTATTTAGGCTAACCCGAAAAGAGTTATAAAGAACCAGCTAAAAAAAAAACGCCAAGAAAAGATTTTCTGATAAAGAGTATGCATACAGAATATGTTTGTATCGTAGATATATCGTGTGGTGTGTGTGTAATTTTCTGTAAATCAGAAAGAAAGTATCTCTTAAATATCAATAATAATATCTTGTTTAGTGTATGCACTTTAGTTTCATTATTCTTTTTTTTTTTCATTGACAAACATATTTATTTTCAAAATAATTGTATGTAACTTACCATCGAATTAACGCATAGTTTTAATCTTATTTTATGCAAACGAGACTATACGTATGCAGGTAAATTGGCACTCTTACTTTTTGTTTGCTAAATCAAAAGCAGAAAAAATTGACGTATATTATAAAGGAGGAAACATTTCGTGGAGCAAACACTATATAAAGAAAACTACTAATTTACATGCTTGAGTCACTACCATAAATGCTTTACTCGTGTAATAATGGCAAAACTTGACAAAGAAGAAAACTGGTTTTCATTACCATTTCCATGAAAAACCGTTAACTCTTCTTTTCTGTCCAGACGTTCACTACAAACAACATCTTGTGGTGCTACTTTAACTGAAAAAATATAAAACAATCACCTTTTTATGATATAAGATGTAATTCACTTTATTTCAAATAACATTGACAAAACAAGATAATACAACAACAAAGAAAAACAAATGCGCACAGATTACATCTCAATACTTAAATTTACCAGAATTTAGTAAAATTTGTTCAATAGTTCATTGCAAATGTGATGAAAATGCTAATTTGGCGACGGAAGGACATGCTGATGTTAATATAGCCCTAGATATATAATATCGACTGAAGGTTAAAACTAACTCCATACGTTTTTAAAGAGGTGCCTTTTCTTTATATCCAGAGTGTCCTCCTTCAACCATAAAACAGCGGGAGCCATACGTGATTATGAAAATTTAGCACATTAACATTATGACATGCTTTAGTACAATAACTCAAGTATTTAGTAACCATTATAATAAACTGTACGATTTCGAAATGGTCATTTAGATGAAAATAAAACCATTTATTCTTCAAAATATAGAATATTAAAATAACACATAAACGTGTGTTCGTCATTTAGAATACAATGAAACCATTCATCCCTAAAACAGAATAATATAATAGAATGTAATCGCGTGTTACCTTCTTTTCTTGGTCTTAATCCATTTTTGATTTCTGGACTGTGATCAAATGTTGCATCATGATCTGATCTGTCAGGAATGACAGATTCACCATGGTATGCTGAATGGACTTTATCGACTGCAAAAGATATCAATATGATTGTGTACAGAGTATAACATCAGCCCACTTAAAACATAACCAAGCCACAATCAATCACATTAACCTGTACCAAGAGTTTTGTCATCTCATCTAATTCAAACGTGGGAAATAAAAAAAAAAACAATATGAATAACGTATCATAGTGAAACCTTTCAAATGCTGCACGTCTATCAGAAATTTCTTAGACACAAGAAATAACAAAACTACTAAGACGAAACGTACTCTTCTATGATCAGTGTTTGTCAAGTGGAATTCAAAAAATATTGAAGAAATTTTATGAATATTTTGGATTTATTTGTAATACATTCTTAGCTAAAATGCGCATGAACGTTGATCGAATAATGAGTTTAATATCTTGTTATTACAATTCGCTGGTATACCCGAACTCTTCTCATTCAAGGTTGTGAGTTCCACCTACAAACGCCATTTTAATGTGTTTGATTACAACAAAGTGTCGGGCTTTCCATATAGAAGTGCCATTTTAACTCTGTGAAACGTCTATGCACTTAGTCTTGTTTCTGACATAACAGCCTTGTAATGTCACTAGGGTCGGCAGTAACGACCGGATATGAATTCGGAATCGTGTTACATTTATATTTATAACAGGATCAACTCCATTTCGATGTCAATTGTTTTTACTCTCATATAAAATCAATGAAATGTGTTATAATTGAAAAGAGTAAAACTATCCAACAGAGACCATAGGGAGTGGAGAAAACTAGCAGCTATAGACCACTTTACAACCTTCAAACAATGGAAGATATAAAATGTCCCGACATGACAAAATTGAAAACAAAGCAACGAGACAATCAACGCCCTGATTTATGACGGAACAGTCAACTAAAACAAAAATGAGAGACAGCAATGAACCACAATCACTAAATCACACGCTTCTGACTTGGAACAGTCGCTTAAAGGATATGGTTGGGTAAAATTTGTTTCATAAACACAATATGTTAGCTTAAACCTAGACTTGTAATATATACTAAGTGAACATTTAAGTACGGTCTTAATATTCATATATCAAACCACGTAAAAAGTAAAATAACAAAAATACCGAACTCGTAGGGAAATTCAAAACGGAAAATCCTTTATAACGTGGCAAAATCAAAAGCTCAAACATATGAAACCAATGGAAAACACCTGCTATATTCCTAACTTGGTACAGGCATTTCCTTATGTAGAAAATGTTGGATTAAACCTGGTTTTATAGCTAGTTAAGACTATCACTTGTGTGATATTTGCATTGAATTTCATTATATTGGCAACAATGTGCGAGTAAACCAAACAGCCATAATAGGTAAAACCGTCAAAAATTATGTCAGCATTGTAATATACTCTTCATCACTATAAAAACATATAACTGTTTCAACAACGAACCACAAAATGGCATGTAGACAAAGTACATAAGCAATAATGAAAGGCAGGACTTGATTATTACACAATAACACAATGGCGGGATGTATCATAATATCGCTCTGGAATCTTTTATAGAAGGACAATCATTTTCAGACGGCAAAAACTATAACAAAAAATTAATAGGGAAGGTTAAAGTCTATATATTTCAATGATATATCAACAATATATTCCAATGTAACGAAAACAAGATACAAGCATCAGCTCAATAATTATGCGATTGCGTTTCTCGCTATAAGTATTCGCATAACAAGGTAGCATACTCACATTGAGCTAAAATCCAAATTTCTAAAACTCTTATTTGAAGTTTATGAACGAAACAAGCGACGAGTTATTCGTTGGACGGACGGACTTACAGGAGTTAACTTTCTGAACGGTGGTATTGATAGAAGGTATAATGGATTGACCTTGGATTGAAAAAACAAAAGACTTAATGTATACAACTTACCTTCTTTCCTACTAGTTTGTCCGTTTTGCGACATCAGTATAAAGCAAGAATCCCTATTTAAAGTATAGAAGTAGACACTCATATACTGCCGACTTGTCAAATATATAGCTAAAATGATAATCATATTGCAAGAATCATTATGTAATGTTGTGTTTTGAAAGAAATTAATAAATTAACAATATATCAAATAGGTATGATCTGAAGAGTGTATTACATATAGGAATTTATGAGAATCACTCGAAAACAAAAATATGTCGAACCTCCAAAAGAGATGTAGCTAAAATGATAATCATATTATAAGAATCATCATCTAAAACGATAATCATATTATACGAATTATTATGTAATTAATTAACAATAAACTGTTGAGTTCTGAAAAGCGGATCAGAAGGGATAAAAGTTGGGAACGTAGGAGAATCAATTGAAAAAATGATATTTTGCAAAGAGTTTTCACGTACAGAAGGCGATGAATTTTACATTCCCGATGAACTCGATTTCACGACCCCATTGTGTGAAGGCGTGGCTCAGAATGTACACGTCCCGCGCAGCGCCGATTGAGAGACGTTCATGACAAGTGATCATTTCTTTACCTTAGCCAATCTGTCTGTGCTAACTTAATATGTTACAAAAAAAATGTGTATTTCCTTTTTATGTAGCCAAGTTAAAGATAAATCACCTTACCTATCAATGGACTATAATACAACTATCGTATCTGATAAGGTGTTAAATTTATGAAAACACTGAACAACAATTGTCCCAATAAATGACCCTTTCTATTTTAGGAACATACAATTTTATATTAGATATATTATTATAAAAGAAAATAAACATAAAGATATCTGTATACGTTTATGGATCAAACACCTGCATATAATATAACAAAAAATATTTTTATAAACTTTAAAAACAGATTAAATAAACATATTAACGATACCAGGATTAAAATCTTGCAAGTAATTGATAAACATCTTTTCATAACTTCGTATTTTTGTGTGACACTTTACAAGCAAATCAGGTCTAAATATTAGGGGTCGGCCGTTATAAAGCACTTTAATGGGTAGGGATTGATATCTTTGGGTCTTAGTAAGAATGAACGATTAAAAATGATTACGAAAAAGTCTGCTTGAAATTGGCCATGCAAAATTAAGGTAAACAATCTCTCTGAAATATACTCAATAATGTATTTTCTTAGTTAATTGTAAAAAATGTAATTCCTAAGTTAGTGCTTTTAATTAGAAAGCAAATCTAGAATAATATAAACATACAATAAACCTAAATATGTGTCCAAAAACCAAACTAACACTATATAATTACCATGTTCAGTAAACCGCAAATACAAGGCATCTATTTAAAAACAGTTCATAGATGCGCAACATTAATCTAAGTTCTAAGTTGATGTGACTACCTCAATACTAAATGAAACCAAAACTTTGACCTAACATTAATCAAACTTGATACGAAAGATCGGACGGACGTATAGATTAAACAACAAATTGCCCCTTACTTTGTATACAGAGCATACACATTTAACTAGAATAATTGTGTTATAATGAATGTCAATTTACCTTATTTTATAAACGTAATATTCCTGGTACACTATTCAAAATGATAATCCTTGAAGTGTGAGTTTTAAGCTGACTTTTATCTAACCCGGGATAAATTCAATTTCCCGCTATATTTCACACATAACATCTGACCTCAAACATAACATGGAACATCATTCTAATTGAACATACATGTATATCTCTGATCATCGCTATGGTTCGACGAGTATGCAAGTTACGGCAGATTTAAACTTTAATCAGATTGAGGGACCATCTACAGGTAATAAACACAAGTAGTAAAATTTAAGCGAAAATAAAATATCTAGTTATAAAAAAAAAACGTTCAATGGCGGATAGGAACAAAACTTTCCGTTTATGATCGTTCCCAACTAATGTAGCAGTCTTTGTCTCTACTGTACAATATAAATACGTGTGTCGTCTTCCTGTCGAATTGATGATATATAATGATACATGGAGACATTGTATCTCCCCGTGAAAGACATCCTTTTTCGCGGTACTTATAAGTCATATATTCTGACACAATTTCGTTGAAACCGACAGATTTAAGAATTCTACCACAAACAAAATCGGTAAGACAAATGATCCAACACACGAGCCTCCTCAGATCAAACTCTTGCCCATTTAGGTAAATAATTAAATTTGTCGAGCATAAATTCCAATTAATATGAGGGTCTGGATGCAGTTTACAGAGAGACATTTGTCCCCAAAAATATAGAACGAAACATAGACGTTTGCTCGTATCCGACACAATAAATCATTTTGACTGTACGATTCAGCCGTTTTGACACCTTCAGATGTTTCTAATGAACACTTTTTTCTCTTAAACGTGCGGTAAAATTAGATTCAATATATGAAGGACAAGGTTTTGAAAATTGGATCCTACTGCCCCAAAACCAAAAAGCAGAGCATTTGAAAATGGTTGAGTTGTAAATGTCATCCAAATTTACAATGTAGTTCTTAAATACAAATGATTTGTGTAAGAGTATTAATTTATTTATTATGCCTATTATTGTTTCTAAATTTGTTTAATTACGATTTTATACATGAAATTATTTGATATACATAACTTTTATTCATCTTTTCTTTATTCGGATTATTCAGTGTGCACCACATTTTTTATGTTATTTCTTCATAGACAGAAAAAATATTACAGTCATTCCTTATTATTTAATTCTTAAAAGGAGTAAATAACGATAAAACGTTGATGACGTTGCGGTCACATGACAAAATTATGTCTATGAGATGATAGACAAAACACTTTCAGCCAATCAGAAGACGTATTACATCCAAAATTAAATTTTTAAGTATTACCCCTGACATTTTTGATAATGAAGAATTCCTGGAAATTTAAGTGCTAAGTTCACCAGTGATGAAACAAATTCCCTGAAAATTTCAGAGATTACACATAACCCTAATTATACACATTTAATCTAACATATGGGCATACGATTTAATGAAGACTGTATGATGATCTCTAGACATTGTATAGTTAATTGTGTCGTTTATTATGAGGCTGACTTCATACAGGAACTTCTTAGGAAGAAAGAAAAGAAGTTAGCAATATCCTTTAACTCTACGTTCCGCTATATAGATGATGTTCTCTCACTAAATAATACAAAATTTGGTGACTATGTTGAACGAATCTATCCCATCGAACTAGAGATAAAGGATACTACAGATACAGTTAAGTCTGCCTCATATCTTGACTTACATCTAGAAATTGACAATGAGGGTCGGTTGAAAACAAAACTTTACGACAAAAGAGATGATTTCAGCTTCCCAATTATGAACTTTCCATTTCTATGTAGCAACATTCCAGCAGCACCCGCATACGGAGTATATATCTCCCAATTGATACGATATTCCCGGGCTTGTGTTTCCTATCATGATTTCCTTGATAGAGGATTGCTGCTCGCAAGGAAGATATTAAGCCAAGAGTTCCAAATGGTGAAGTTGAAATCATCCATTCGTAAATTTTACGGACGCCATCACGAGTTGGTTGACCGTTATGGAATAACCGTTTCACAGATGATATCGGATATGTTCCTTATGTCGTAACTACAATACCCTTCCCTTTTCACGAATGTGACTTACCGAATTAGACTATTTACCGGATTTGAAATAACATAAGCAACACGACGGGTGCCACATGTGGAGCAGGATCTGCTTACCCTTCCGGAGCACCTGAGATCACCCCCAGTTTTTGGTGGGGTTCGTGTTGCTTAGTCTTTAGTTTTCTATGTTGTGTCATCTGTACTATTATTTGTCTGTTCGTCTTTTTATTTTTGGCCATGGGGTTGTCAGTTTGTTTTCGATCTATGAGTTTGACTGTCCCTCTGGTATCTTTCGTCCCTCTTTTGGATGCGGTCTCAATTACATAAACACTATCCCACAGCTTCTTTTACTGGTATACTGTTTTACCTATATCATTTTCAATTTTAATTCACTCTTCAGTCGTTTTTAAAATTTAAGGTATGGCTGTGACTTGGACTCAGACGTATGTCCATCGGTCGTGTGTCGTTAACTTTTAAATTGACATTTTCTGAAACCACTACATAATTTAAACCAAACTTGATCTGAATCAAGGGCCCGTTTGGTCTACATTCGAAATTGGGGAACCGACATAAAAGTGTCTGAACAAGAATTTAATACAATCACAGCATTTTATCAAATGCTTTAGCAAATTTTTGAATGTGATGGGAATAAAGAAGAATCAGTATTTCTAGCCTAGTCAATTTAGCTCTAAAATCACTCAACCTGCAACTAATTGCAACATAAGGTTTTATAAGTAAAAACTAGAATATTGACTTGTTCTAACAACATATTAAAAATCTACATTAATATAATTTTAGGAAAAGGTTATTTTGGGGTGAAATATGTTGTTTTTAGAGAAAAAAAAACTGGAAAAGAAGAAAAATTATTATTTATGGTGACATTTTTAGACTAATAGCTTGGTGATGACAGGACACGTTTCTTACTAGTGTATTATGTAGTTCTCTAGTTATTAGTATTCAGATAAGTTATTTTGAGGTGAAATGTATAAATTTTAGAGAAAAAACTCTGAAAACTGGAAATGAAGAAAAGCTCAGTTGTTAATGGTAAACATTTTTGAAAAGTGATCTTTAGAGAAAATAAAACATACTATTTCCAACACTAAACGAGACTTACCTTGGTAAAATTTGAAGTTCAGTTGGAATTTAACGTAGTCATCTTTAGTTGTAGGGATCAGATGAGATGTTCGTGCGGATGTGTAGCTTCAGTCTTCAAAGTCGAAGGGTTTGTGCATACAAATGTACTAAGTACAACATCACAAAAAAGGGGAGGGATATCGGGAGGGCATCTGATCCCTACAACTAAAGATGACTACGTTAAATTCCACATGAACTTCAACTTTTACCAAGGTAAGTCTCGTTTAGTTTTGGAATTTAACTACGTCATCCCGTTTCCGGGACCAGATGAGACTTCAAAGAGCACAAGCCCTGAGATAAGTCAAAAAGTTATATTAAAAAACCTCAAAAAAAAATTTCCCTC